CTGATACGTCCTTATCGTGTCAATTGTTGTCTTTGAAGGGTTGTGTCGGTTTGTTTTTCTGTTTATTGTAGTCGTGTCCCCTCTTCTACGTATGTAAAAGATATCAGTTTGAATAAGATATTCTGGTAACAGTTTGTGTTTTACGACAAGTTGGTATGAGAGCCATTAAAATATGGCTTCAAGATCTGTAAACGGTCTGCAAATGCAATCACATACTCAACTTCCTAAACTAAATGGTAGGAATTACTTTCGTTGGACCATCCAAATGAAAGTGCTATTGGAATCACAAGATTTATGGGGAACCATTGAAGAAGGCATCGATGAACCAGAGGACCCTACGACTCTTACTGCACAACAAACAAAACACTACCAAACAGGACCTCTTTTCCGGCGGATTTGTCCGCCGGAAAAGAGGGCGCTGGTGATTCGTTTTTCGTCGAGTTTTCCGGCGGATGCTTAAATTTTCCGGCGGATTTCGGCCGCCGGAAACCTTTCGCCGGCTTAATCAGGAAAATTTGATTTTACTTGATAAAAAATTTAAGAAAATTTTTAAAATGAAAATTTAATTTACCGACGGACATTTCCGCCAGAAATCCGCCGGATTTATTTTCTCGCCGGAAAATTATTTTAATWAAATTAGATTTTCAAATAACTTTATAAATGTTCCCGACGGATATTTCTGCCGGTAATATTATTTATTCTTTTAATATTTATTTAAAGATTTATTTATTTTTTAAATATTATTATAAAATTTCAATATTACCGGCGGATATATCTGCCGGAATAAAAAAATTATTTTTTATTTATTGTTTCAATAAATATTTAAAACCTGTAAATCTGTAAAAATATGGATAAAACTAAAAAATTAAAATACAACCAAATATCATATATTAAACTAAACAATTGTTACAAACATACAATATACAATTTAAAGTATCACACAATGTTACAAACAAACTAAATTGTTCCAAATAAACAAACGACATTCAATTAGGTGGCGGTGGGAATTGTGATTGAGGGAGTTCGTTAAACATAGCAGCCATATCATTAATTTGTGACTGAAGTTGCTCCTTCACCTTCTTTCGGTGGTGATTTTCTTCTTGTAAATCCATAACTTGGGAAGTCAAGGCTTCAATTTTCTATAAAATAAATAAAACGTTATAATATTTAATATGAATTATAAACTAAGTCGATAAACATCATCAAAAGAAAAAGAGACTCATACCCGCTTATCCGAAGACGATGAACCACCTTCCGTATAGTTCCCGGTCAAGACACAATTGGGATCTTCGTTGTACTCAAACCTAAATAGACGACGTTTTTTGCTTCCGCCAACTGCTTGCTCCCACAACTCTTTATTAACTAAGGGCTAGGTGGAGGGATCATTACCGTATCTTTGGCTGAGACCCGTTGAATAGTCATCCTATATATGATTTAAAAAAGATTGCAAGTCAATTTTGACAGCATGACGGCTGTAAATGGGACGTTTCCAAGCAAAATAATAGTAATAGATACGAAAATTGTATCCAAAACAATCCTAACGTTTGCCCAACCCAAACTAAATAATGATATATACGTAATTTCTAACGTAAACAATCCTAATGTTTGTCCAACAAATGGCAACCCAAACTAAATAATGATATATATATATATATATATATATATATACATACGTAATATCTAACTTAAGCAATTATAATGTTTGCCCAACAAATGACAACCCAAAATGGAAATAATAAAATTTTAAAACAACTACACAAAGTTTACTAAGACTAAAAGTTTACAAATGAAGTCTAATCATCTGAAGAGTGATCAGACAAGTCAAGTTCTTCGTCCTCAAAGTCACTATCYGAGTATTGGAACTCCTCTTCTTCGTCACTATTCTCATCAACATGCCCCAATATGTTCCACTAAATCCAAATAGGGTCCATTAAAGCCAAATAGGGTCCATTAAAGCCCAATACGGTCCATTAAATCCAAAAATAGGGTCCATTAAAATCCAATACGGTCCATTAAA